TAGGGATCGGGGTACCAGGTGCACGAATGCGCGCGGCCAACGCATTAGGTCGACTTTGCGAATATGCTCTCTTAGAGGCAGGATCATGCAAGTCATGTGCCCATCCGCTGTTAATATCCCCGGCCGGGATGCGACCTGAAGACTGGCGCTTTGTAGGGGGTTAGCATTAAAATGGCTTAGAAGAGAATGGGGATTAACAAACCTTCTGAACACCAGCGCGACTGGCCAAGGGGCCGAGGGTCGGTGGCGCGCTGCTCCTACGATTGCCGCCCTCTCGCTTAAAGATGCGGGCGGCCAAAGCTTCGTTTTGCTTACGCTCACGACCTAGGTGAATTGAAAGTTAGCCTTATGTGTCGCCGACTGTGTTCGTTCGGTGCTATATGATAGACATACCTTCTTTGATAATCTTCTCGAATTCCGTCGCGTGCTTTTTGGGAGGAGCCATCTTATCAACACGTCGAAAGGGTGGTGAGCTAAGATGACGAAAGGTAGGAAAGGGTTGGTTCGAAATGGAAACGTATCCGTCAAGATAATTACTCAATTGCGTTAATCAATTGACAAAAACGATTCTTCGGATACAATGCGGAACAGTACTGCAAGAATGATCTAAAAAAGAGATGCAAGTTGATAGAAAGGCGTAGCGGAATGATGAAGAGTGAAGAGTGCTAACTAGATGGATTTGACGATGATGAAAGGTTGAACCTGGGAACTTTCAATTCTTTTTTTTTCCGTTGCAGCGCGCGTAAGAGACCTCACTTAACGCAGGGGTTGGCGCGTCTGACCTGTGGCTTAGGTTTTACTGATTAATTGCTGTGGCCGTGTTGGTGGATTTTGATTTCGTGGCTGCATGTGCACGGACTTAATCAATAAGGTACGTACACACGTACTTGGTGCCTCAGGCAACGAAATCACAGAAAAGAACCCCACAAGTACGTACACGAAGCGATTAGGGTCAAGCAAGGCTCAACCCACACAATCAACTTCTATCCCAGGGAAAATTATCGGCTTTGTAATTTTGGCCGCCTCTTTTTCCAAATTTCCCCAAACACCACAAACAAATCCAACATCTCCCAATCTCTTCAACATCACGAATTACGCACAATAGACCGTCACCATGGGTCGCGTGGTATGTCTTTAATGATTCTGTTCATTTCATCTTCATTGCGATTGAATACCATGGCTAATTCGATGCGACAAACAGATTCGTAACCAGAGAAAGGGTCACGGTGGTATCTTCAGTAAGTCTTCTCTACTTTACATTTTTTTTTCGCAATCAACGACAACCATAAAAACTTCAATTCAACTCACACTTTACTTCTCATAGCCTCCATCACCCGACTCCGCAAGGCTCCCGCCAAATTCCGATCTCTCGACTACGCTGAGCGACATGGATACGTCCGAGGTGTAATCAAGGAGATCATCCACGACCCGGGTCGTGGTGCTCCCCTCGCCAAGGTCGTCTTCCGATCTCCCTACAAGTTCAAGCAGATGAACGAGACCTTCATCGCCAACGAGGGCATGTACACCGGACAATTCATCTACGCTGGCAAGAACGCCGCCCTCACCGTCGGCAACGTCCTACCCCTCTCGTCCATGCCCGAAGGTACCGTCGTCTCCAACGTCGAGGAGAAGGTTGGTGACCGAGGTACCCTTGGTCGCACTTCCGGCAACTACATCACCGTTGTCGGCCACAACCCCGACGAGGGAAAGACCCGTATCAAGCTTCCTTCGGGTGCCAAGAAGGTCGTCAGCAGCAGCTCCCGAGGCATGATCGGCATCGTCGCCGGTGGTGGCCGAACCGACAAGCCCCTGCTCAAGGCCTCGCGCGCCAAGCATAAGTTCGCCGTCAAGCGCAACAGCTGGCCCAAGACTCGTGGTGTAGCCATGAACCCCGTCGACCATCCTCACGGTGGTGTAAGTTTTTTTATCTCCATTATTAATATCCTATGGACACTGACACAAAATAGGGTAACCATCAACATATCGGTAAAGCTTCGACAATCTCCCGATATGCTGCACAAGGTCAGAAGGCGGGTCTCATCGCGGCCCGAAGAACGGGTCTGCTGCGTGGTACTCAGAAGGTGAAGGAGTAAAAAAGGGTTCTCCAGGTCATGGTTCATCACACGGCGGTTGGAGTTTTACTTTGCACTTTGCATCTCTCTAGGTACTGGCGAGCTACGAAATGAGATAGGCTCGATGGAAGTACCCGGCATCAGATATTCCTTCTTCTGCGCATCGCCAATGACAGTCTCGTCGTAGTCTTACGAAGTGAATGAAGGCCAGAATAAAGATCAGAATGAAAACAAGTTAATACTAAACCTCCACGAGTACCGAACATGAACATGAAATTCCATTCTTTTCATAACCTTGAAACCCCTGTAACCGTAGAGAAGCTGAATTACTAAGGTGACATATGGTTATTGTCTCGCATGATGAGCATATGCACCAATCTATGGACCCATACCTAGAATGATTTATTCCCGTCCCAGGGCATGATATCATACGATAGCCCAGCTCCGCTCCGTGACCCGGGGCTAGCCATAATATTGAAAGTCAAATATCTTATGCTGTATTTCATACTTGACTCCTTACATGTACATAGTCACTGTAATCATTAAGTTCAAATGAACATGTAAGATTTTAGATTGTAATACAACCCCTACTAAAAATTTATTTTAGAGATGCCGTTCTCCACAGCCCTCTCTTCCTCCGGGTTGATCCCTCGGACAATCTCAAAAGCGTTACGGTCCTACTATAACCCCACTACGAGTACCTGTCAACTCAGGTCCCTCTCTACATATAAAATCTCACCCCGCCAAAATCAGGGTCTCTTCTCTACGCCACCACCGCACACTTCACCAGTCCAACGCCGTCGTCTACTATCCACCATGGCCGCCAACAAGCAATACAGCCTTCTCTGCTTGGAGAACCCTCTCCTTGGTATGTGTATCTCTTGAATTCTCGTTGGGTTGGTCTTAATTGGGACAATGAGGAGCTTGTAAGAGAAAAAAAGACCCCGCCTTGGATAATGCAATGCTTTCACCGAGTGGTGTAAGACTTTGGGAGTGAGTAACAGCAGACATAAGAAGGTGTCATAATGAGATTATGGCCTCAGTATAAGATCAAGATCATATTTGGAATAAGTGTTGGAAAATGTATTCGAATCTCTCCAGTCTCTAGAAGAGAGCACAGGTCATCCTTCGCCCATCTTAGGGATTTATATACTATACTATACCTAATGTATAGACGGGAGCTTATACAAACGCAACAGACATCCAAGCGGTGGGCACGGAGGAGCTGCTCAAGAAGTACAACCTCAAGGCCAACGACGCGATCCTGGCCTCGCCCGAGCACACGCCGCTGTACGACGAGCTGCTGAACAACTACGACGCGAAGCTGATCGCCGGCGGCGCGGCCCAGAACACGGCCCGTGGCACCTCGTACATCCTGGGCCCCGACAGCACCGTCTACCTCGGCGGCGTCGGCGACGACAAGTATGCCGCCATCCTCCGCGACGCCGTCAAGCAGGTCGGTTTGAGAGTAGAGTACCGTGTCGACCCCAAGGTGCCCACGGGTCGCTGCGGCGTGGTTATTACCGGACACAACCGCAGCTTGTGCACTGACCTGGGTGCCGCGAACCACTACGACCTCGACCACCTGAAGAGCCCCAAGATCTGGGAGCTGGTGAAGAATGCCGAGTTCTACTACGTCGGTGGTTACCACTTCACCGGTACTGATTCCCCTTATCTGCTGCTCCTTTATTCCTAATAAATAGCTAACAGTAAGATAGTCTGCCCGCCCGCCATCCAGGCCCTCGGCGAGGAAGCGGCCGCCAACAACAAGACGCTGATCGTCAACGTGTCGGCGCCCTTCATCGCCGAGTTCTTCAAGGACCCGCTGGACGCCAGCGCGCAGTACTGGGATTACGTCATCTGCAACGAGTCCGAGGCGGCGGCGTACGCCAAGTCGCACGCGCTGTCCGTGGCCGAGACGGACGTGCCCGGCATCGCCAAAGCCCTCGCCAATCTGCCCAAGGCCAACGCCAAGAAGCCGCGCGTGGCCGTCATCACCCAGGGCACGCTGCCCACCGTCGTCGCCGTCCAGGGCCAGGACGAGGTCAAGCAGTACCCCGTCCACGCCATCGACGCGTCCAAGATCAACGACACCAACGGCGCGGGTGATGCGTTTGCCGGTGGCTTCGTGGCTGGCCTCGTGCAGGGCAAGAGCCTCGAGACTGCGGTCGACATGGGCCAGTGGCTGGCACGGCTGAGCATCCAGGAGCTCGGCCCGAGTTACCCGTTCCCGAAGCAGGCTTACACGCCCTCGTAAACCTCTAGCACTTAGGTTAGGTGGGTGGATGATGGGGTTGTATCTATGTAGTAATCCTGACGAGCATCCCCCGATCTGATATCAACACTCGACATTCAGCACAGCACAGCACAACTTTGACGTTACTCAACATTGCGCAAAGGCCGGCGTTTTTATTATTATTTTTATTTTACTAGAGCAAGGGAGGCGAGAGGGCCACATTTAAAAGCAAGCAAGGCAGGCGGGAATCTCATCATTTCCATCCCAACGGGGGGCAAAGTAGGCAGCATCGCGGCATAGTATGGGTCGCATCGCATTACATCAGATCTAAGATAGGACTGGGTCTGGGTCTGGGTTTCAACAACGGGAGAATCTTTGGTACGGAGGGTAGGGAAGGGATTTGCACGTGTGTGTGCTTTCCTGTGCCTGTGCCGTGTGATAACGTAGGTAGATAGATGGATGGATGGATGATATGATAAACTCGGGTTCGTTGATCTCCGTGAACTGCTAGTTGTTGTGACGATGCACTTTGTAATGAATCAGGGTTACTGAGTTATGTCAATCTGGTGTTATAATCATCTTTGACAATTTCCTCTAAGCAAACCATGTTTTCGATCCGAAGTTATCCTATATAGTGTGACCAAACTTCTAATCATTACTATGACCACACTATCCTCTTCGTTGTTTTCAAGGTATGGGTGGTGTAGCGGTAGCACCCAAACCTTTCACCCGGTGAAAGGTTGGATCCGGGGTTCGACTCTCCGCCCATGCGATCTCGCCTTTTATTTTTTTTCTTCCTTCCTGTAAGAGGGAATGGCGCTTTCGAAAGCGTACCTGATGAGTAATGAGCGTAAGTGCTTATGTGAAGTGATTGCTGAGGATATATGTTTGTATAAGCCTGGTACATGTCAGTATTTATAAGCCCATATTCTGTTCCTGGTTGTCACGATGTACGTTATGACCAAAATGAGAAAGGACAAATCCGTGTCGTTGTAAAGAGACATGAGGAAAGGCGAGGGAAAGAGATGAGTGCAGATAGGGTATATCTGCTTTGCTAAGCTTCTACTTTCTAGAGCTGTAATTAGATTCACTGGTCGAGACAGACTGCAGCAGATCAGGATGTTTACATTACATATTATTGTCTAATGTGAGTACAAATTAAACCCGATTAGAGAGTGAATGCTGAAATACGAGGATTATCAAAAGTCCAGTAACCCCGATCCTTGCCTATTTTATCAAGACAAGGCAAGGCAAGGGGCAGAGCCTCTCTACACCCATTTCAACGAATATCTCACACGCCACTATTACCCCAGGTCTACGCAAGGATACATATCACACATTATCATCACAGCAGCAGTAAGACACTATCATGGGTTATACTCATCCATAGAGTGAGTCCTTCGGACTGAAAATCAAGAACCACCAAGTGGCCTACCGAAAAACTAAACTACAACAACCGAGAGAGCCATTCGTGCGCGAGGACAGACGAACTAATTAGCCTCGGCACTCCTTTACTAGGCTTCTCAGTTTCCACAAGCTTCCTCCATTCATTTTTTTCTTCTGCGTAGCCTCGATGTACGCGCATGTGCCACGTGAAAGCAGTACCGATTTTGCTTTGGGCCAAGACGAACAGTGATGTGGAGGAATCCTCCATGTGGGAAACTAATTAATCAGCGTCCATCTTTGGAAAACGGGTGTATCAGGTAGGCCGTTGACTGATGCCGTACGAACGAAGCTCGCCTCTTCGACTTAGGTCTTTAGCAGATCCACTAGGGGGAAACTCGGACGGATCTCGTGGCTGCTGTCGAAGGTGGAAGATGAATGGTAGGAAACTTCACTTCGCCATGTCGATGTCAAATGAGGTCGGAAAGGGAGGTCCAGAAGAGGTTTGCACGCCAAGTAGAGACGACAGGTGCTAGACCATGTTGAGAGGGGGTACGGGACGATAGTTAGTGGATGGTGACAATAGGGTATTTGTGTTGTGATGTCGGAAACCTGAAGACGGAGTCACAAAAATGTGCCAGGTAGGCCATCTTCGCAAAAAGGCCAAGTGTTCCGAAAGGATATCGAGTATTTCAGTTATCAACAACTCGTAGGCAAGGTAATTTAGTTACCAACCGTATGGAAAGGTGTGCGTCAATCTTTATAAAACCGAATCATCTCCTATTCGGTTGATTCGTCGGGTCAGAAAACGTTCGTGGTTGTAAGAAAAAAAGGAAAGTTTCCCCAAGTTGGTGGATGTTAGAAACAGGGGATCAAGAAGGGGTTCTCACAGTTGAGTGATGTCAAAAACCGCGTTTTTCATCCTGACATTTTTGCTCGTGAGAACAGTCAATCGTGTTATGTCATAATCAGAACTTTCTTCTGAATGTTTGTCGGAATGCTGGCCAATTCTGGTACACGCGTAGAGGTATACTGAGTGAAAAGTTTGGCTGCAAATCATTTCTTCTCCGACTTCTCGTCCTCTTCGACTAAGGCTTGCGCAAGGACTTGTTTGCTGTAGCTGTTAATGCCGCCGCGCATGCGATTTCGAAAGTGCGTGGGATCATCACGGTTGTTGGCACCCGGGCCGAGACGACCAAACGGGGTACTGGCATTGAAGTAATTGCCGTTCGAGTACACCGCATTAGCAGGAGCATTGGCAGGGCCACCTGAACGGCCGGCCGGCGTATTTCCCCATAAGCTGCTGCTAGGGTGCGAGAAAGCGAGCGCAGAATCACTTCGCACCCCTTGTGGCCACTGACTACGTTCCTGTGGTGTCAGACGGTTAGTAGGGGTGTTGCGTCGCGACGGTCCTCGCGACGGTCCTCGGCTGCCTGGTCTGGGAAGACCAACGTTGTTTCCAGCAGGACTGGGAGTGCCACCGAAATGACCATACGGATCTGGGAATGAAGAACCCCAGGGTCCGGGCTGACCTGCTCCGGGTGGGAGGTGGGGGCCCTGTGGATGAGGGACGCCAGCGCGTAGACTAGCCGGACGTTCCACGGGGTTGGGTGTCGAACTCGACCCAACATATGGACTCTCGAAGCGTCGCGGATAGCTAGGGAAATTCGTCCGATACTGATTTCCGAGGGCTGAGTCATGAGTTCTGGCGTTCGGACGATTCGCCCAATAATCAGCCGGTGTTCGTATGTTTTTTAAGCCATGCTGAGTATACAGTGAAGACTGTAGGCTATTGAGAATCGATTCTTTCGATTCCAGGAACGAAGACTCATCCCACGAAGGTTGGCCGGAGTTGGCCGGAGTTTTTGGAACCACTCCCAGTGACTTGTTGTCATGATCCTCTTCAGCATTACGACCTACTCCAGTTTGAGGATTGCGAGAACCGAGATTGTTGAGATAGGCGGATGATTCGAAACCATCTAGCTGGCCATGGGCACTCCTGGGTACGTAATCACTACCCGAGGTCAGCTGATTGTTGCCTTGACTATCGGAACGACGGGGAGATGGCGCAAAAAAGTAATCCCACGGAAGGCTCGGAATAGTCTTGGACTTGGGCGAGGGTTGTGCGGAATCCGTAGCAAGTCCACCAAAGATCTCATTTGCCATGGTAGTGTTCATGCCGTAGGTCTCGTCAGTCTGGGTCTGACTTGATTGAGGTCGACTGCTCTCGGCAGGATCTAGAAGCTTATTCACCATGTTGACCATCTCGCTGTCCCCACTAAGATCCGTATCGAGAAGTGGACTTGATGTGCCTGACTTTGCCTTGTGAAACCAATCTTGAGCCGCCGTAGAGTTGGTGACATCACTGACGCCATCGGAACCCGGTGTCTGATCCATTGCACCGATTCCGGAGTGTGACGTTGAACCCTCTTCTTTGGTCTTCGGCTCACCAAGTTTCAGCTTCTTCACCATGCGCTCCATGCTTGATCTATCCATGGGAGTCTTTGAAGGCGGGGGGCCATACTCGGTGTAAGTCCAGCATTCCATATCTCGTCCCGCATGGTGATTGATGGTTAATACGAGTGGATAACTTGGAGTGCTCGCTAGAAGGACTCCGCAGTACAAGATATCTCTGATGCGCCAGACTGCTTCCGTGTGAGACACGCATCGATAACCGACAGTTTTCTGACGGGGCTTTCGAGCCGCAGTCTTGGTAGAATTCATGACCGGCAAACCTTCCACACGAAGGAACAGTGGCAGATCTTGGCTGTTGAAAGGCCTAAGCCCAATCGCCTCAGTATCCTCCGCCAACAGATACTGGGACGGAGGGGTAGTAGCAGCCTGGTCGATGGATCCGTTGAGCAGCGTTAACGTGTCGGCAAGAAGACTATACACGTCACTGATGTATGGCTCAAGGAATTTTCGATATTTGTCAGAGTCGGTCTTGGTGACATAGATCCATGAGATATAAAGACGGACCAGGGGGAAGAGCTTCATGGAGACGTTGTTGAAGTCGGGAATATTTTCAAGGCTATCGTCATCGCCTTGGCTTGTAGTATCAGAGATGGACGATGCCTTAGATCCATCCAGCAATGCCGACTTTAGCAGACGAAGAAGAATCATAACTGTACGAATATTGAATCGCAGTATGAATTGTGCAGATTGAGATCCTTGAATTGTCCAGCCGGCTCCAACTTTCTCTAACGCGACATCGTATGCAGCGATGTTGATGAGGGTCATTTTACGCAAGATGGAATCGTCGCCACCGGATTTCATAGAAAGCTCAGTTCGGTGAAGCACCTCCTCTTCTAGCTCCGCCTGCTGAGAGAATGGTTCGCCCTGGAAGAAGAATCCATGCAGTCGGAGAAACCAGTTGACCATAGCGTCCGATTGATTGAATTGACCATGGCCTTCAGAAGGCGGGCTGTCCAGATTCTTGAATGCTCGTGCAAGATTGGTCATTCCGAGAGTGTACGGTGTCTCGATGGAAACCGATCGGTAGAAGTAATACACAATATCAAGCTGGCGTTTACCAAGTTGGGATAACACAGCCATCTGATGATGCGCAGAACCATCGTTGGGGTCGAGGGCATTCGCTAGACCGTAGTACTCTAGAGCTTTGTTAAAGCTGCCATTGGATGGCTTGTCCGACATTTGGCATCGGTATCTGACTAGATCACCTAGACGAACTAGAGTAATCTGACATGACTTCAGAATCATGGGGCCTAAGAAAGGCGGAGGCGTTGAGTCAGGTGCAGGAGTTCTGCCAGGCTCGACATCGGTACCCTTGGCAATGTGATGCAACTCGGGGATGTAGAAACGTCCAGACAATTGTTGTACGTAGACACGATAGAAGGATTGAGACGTCCTAAGAAACTCTCGGTAACTCTTCTCAACTTTGCGTTTCACAACAACCTGGTTTTGGGATGTGAGGCGACCCATGGCCTTTCGGTATTCGCCATTGAGAAAGCTATGGGCTGTCCACAGGGTGGTCTCGACCTTCTTCATGACGGCGTAATCGAAGTCGCAACCGATGACGTTCATACAGGCCAAGCGGAACCTAGAGAGTAAGATTAGTATTAGAACGGGTATTGGAATAGGTAACTAGTAGTTATAGAGGAGAGGACTTACTTAGCCATCATCTGTTCAACTTCTTCAAAGCAAGCGGTAGTGTTCGCATTGCCGCGTTCTTTCTTCAGGCCTGACAACTTGGCCTTGATATCAGTGTGAAGATTCTGGGCATCCCCCCAGCTGACTCTGGCTTTATGACGTGGATTGTCCACGTTGTTACCCACGATGTTATCCATGGCGAGAGATGTGTTGTACGATCGTAACAATTAAGTGTGTTGAAAACTGTGTGCGATGGCGAAGTAAGACCACCGGCGCTCG